TAAATCATATAAATTTAACCCGATTTTATAGAATTTTTAATATAAAAAACTATACTAAACCTCTCAAACCTTTTTTTAGAAATAAAAATGCAAGGAATAAATAACTCAAAAGAAATAAATATAAATCCCTAATGCAACTTATTCCCATAAATATTAGTTGCCACCCCAAAAACACTCACCCCAAACATATGGCATAAAATCTATGCTCCTTCCCAGCTTATAGATTTTTAATAATAAAAAAAGGAAAGAAAGAAAGCATAAACCATGTGATATATATACGCTTTGTTGGGCGATAAAAAACAAGCAATCTATTAATGGCTGATTTGTGTTATTCACGCCTTGACTTTTTGCTTTTTGCCCGGCTCGTCTCCAGCTGGAGCCATTCAAAATCCCACTGTATCTCTGGCCTTTGCCTGTCATTCGGTTGCGCAAATTAGCCGCCACAGCTTCTCCTGTCACCCCTCGGCTCGGGTTAAGCTGCCTTTTTAGTGTGTGGATGTGTGTGTTTGTGTTTCTTTGGGCTGCTTAGCTAGTTTTAGCTTAGCCAGCTGCCTGCGTGGGTTATATGAGTCTCAGTGTATGTGTGTGTGCTTCTGTGCGTGTGCATCAAAATCATTGCCGACTTTTGTGCGCAAATATTTACGACAGCTGGCAGCTGCTGTCCCCATTATCCCTCATTCCCTGCCACTGCACAGCGAAAAAAATATATTCATAATCATCTAGGAATTTTTAATTAACCTATTTTGTTTGTAAAAGAAAGAGTCTTCTTGCAGTTGAATTATTTTTCTTTGTTTGTCTCTTGACAGAAATACATTTAATGTTTTCACAGCTGTTTAATTACAAAGATTTGCATGGAACAAGAGGAGGCTATTGACTTGCTGGTGAACTGAAGAAGTAAGCATTTATAAGGCAAGTTCTTTGACCTTAAAAAGTGTTAATTTGTTTAATAAAACAAAAAAAACAAATAGCAAGTTAACCAAGTAAAAAACTTGAAACCATTTATAATAACGTCTTAACGCCCTAAATATTCCCCAAAAATTGTCATAAAATTAAAAGACAAGAATTCTTTAATAAATAATAATAAAGTTTGTTTTGTATATTCATTTGAATTACATAAAAAAGGTGACAAGACTTTTTGACATTTCCTCAAAAATAACGCATACGACACGTATGTCAGGTACTTGCAAGCGCATGCACGTGTCGTATGAGTAATTTTTTGTATAACAAAAAAAAAAACCAAAGTAAACGCCACCTTACTTTACTTTTTTACTGTTGACATGAAGATTTTTAAGATTTAATATTTATAAGTAACAAGAAAGCAACACATTGTGGTCATAATTTTTGCGAGTGTCTATGGCTGCTTTCTATCCCATTCCTAGAGACCAGAGGACACCGAAAAGAAACAAAAGCATGCGTCTAACATCTAACGACGACAACAACCTGTCACGCCAGCTGAGGTACGGCCACGGCACGGGTTCGGAAATGGGCATCCAAGGTAGGAGAATGGGTCCGCTAACAAGGTACCCTGCCGAGAGAGAGACAACAATGCGACGGCGGGGTCAGCAGCAGCAACAGCAACAGCAGCAACAGCGGCGACAGCAGGAACCAAAGCAAAATCAGGAGCTGCAGACGGAGGAGGTGGTGTGCTCCACATGAGCTGACACTGGCAGTCAAACAGAGGCCCATGGGCTCCCTGGTCGTAATGGCCTCTAAACAAAAGGCGTGCTTGTTTGGCAGCAACTCACCTACGCCGCCCATTCAACCCACCCACTTTCAATGCCATTGCGGCACACTCAGAGAAGAAGTAGGTCAGTTGATAAGAGAAAAGATAAAGGAATAAGGTAAATATGATAATGGATTTTTTGTATATTTTTAATAACTTTCGTTTTGTTAATATCATTTCCTTTTAGTTTATTTTGTTATATTTATTTATAAAATATTAATCTCAATTACTATTTTGTAATTTTAAAGACACAGAAATATATTAGCTTTGTCATTTAAAATTCCACAAGTGCCATCTAGCGGATTTTTATAAAATATACATGGAGTTTGCTTATAATTCCCAAGTGCTTATTTAGAGGACTTTTCTTAAAGTTTTCCAAACAGAAATTCCTCTATTTCGTCACTTTAAATAAATCCTAAAAAAGTTTTTTAAAGCGCAAAAATATTTAAATCTCTTCTCTTCTTTTCTCGAATGTAACCTAGCACTTAACCCAATTTTTTTCTCTGTGTGCAAATGTATGGGTGTCTGTGTTACATTTGTCTTTTTGCAAATTAATTTATAAACACAATTGACATTGAGCCGGAATGTAAATATGCCGCTGAGAATGGTTGTTGCCTTGCATTAAAAATTCAAGTCCCACTCAGTCACATCTGCATGCTCGCCACACACACATGCGTGAACCTTTCGGTGTGTGAGTGGAGTGTGTGTGCGTGACTCTACCCCATCTGTATGTGTATTTGTTTGTCTTTTGCCATGGTCCTTACCATACTATATATGGCATTTATATTTCCCTCCAGGAAACGGCAACCAGAGTTGCGAAATGCCAAGCTGACGTTGCACTTAAGGAAATAGGCTAACACAAATATGGCTAAAAACGAGGGGGACACTGACTTGTTGTTGTTGCTGCTGCTGCTGTGGGTGGCACTTTGGGAAAACCAGAAATACTGAGAAATAAGCAACGCGATGTCAGGGGAAATTCCAATATAACTTATGGCCTTCAAGTGGGCACACACACACACAACACACAACTCTGCGGAATAAATAATTGAAGAAATTGTTAATTGAACGGGGGCGTATATTGCCCCCAAATGATGCAACTTTCTAACCAAGTCTGTCTGGGAGCTGGGAGTTTCACAAAGTGGAAACAATTTGGCAAGGCCACGTGGTAAAATTCTCAAAGCCATCAGGTCACCTGGCTTTTTAACAAGATTTTACACAACCACAAAAGGGGGAAATTTTACTTTTTGGATCTCTAAGGTAAATAAAATATATGTTCCTTTGAAATAAATTTTAAAAACTTAAATTTATTTATGGAAAATCCAGGGGAAATTCCAATATAACTTATGGCCTTCAAGTGGGCACACACACACACAACACACAACTCTGCGGAATAAATAATTGAAGAAATTGTTAATTGAACGGGGGCGTATATTGCCCCCAAATGATGCAACTTTCTAACCAAGTCTGTCTGGGAGCTGGGAGTTTCACAAAGTGGAAACAATTTGGCAAGGCCACGTGGTAAAATTCTCAAAGCCATCAGGTCACCTGGCTTTTTAACAAGATTTTACACAACCACAAAAGGGGGAAATTTTACTTTTTGGATCTCTAAGGTAAATAAAATATATGTTCCTTTGAAATAAATTTTAAAAACTTAAATTTATTTATGGAAAATCCTTTTTTTTTTTATTAATTTCCTGCTCTTACTTTTCTTTAAAAGATTACAACAATTTCTCTCACTGCAAACACTTAAGGTAAAAAGCAAGAAATTCGGCATTCCATTCGACTTAACTTTGCTAAACGGTTATTAACTTTCCAATGTGTCTGCTGGTCCTTAATGGTTGTAGAACCAACTTTATTAAGGAAAATACAGCCATAGTCATTCCAATGTTTGCACCAAAAAAATAAAAGGAAAACAAAAAACACCAGAAAGCAAATGGCTGCAAGTGTTTTTGGCCAAAAAGACAGAAACCAGCTAAGCACTTTGGCTGTGGTAGAACCGCAACAACAACAAGAACAACAAGTTGTCATTGACTTATACAAACTGATTTGCAATTTTATAAAGAGCTTGGCTTGCACACAAAGCCAACAAAGGAGGAGAGTCCTGAAAAAACCCTGACTAGGAATGGTAAAAGGAGGTTCGACGGTTGGATATATGCAGGCCAAAGGCAAAGGCAGCCGGAAAACAAAAGCTAAACAAAACTTTTGTTTGTCCTCATCAGGAGGCTGGCGACAAGGCAGTGCCAGAAAACTGCTGACTGACTGGACTGAAAATTTTGTGGACCAGGCGGCCTAGGGTGTTGTCTTCATCTGGTGACCTTTTTTGGCAAGCAAAAATTGTAAAACTCATTTACATAACAATTACCGCTTGACACGGCGATGTTTCCCCACAAAAACTCTACCGCCACCATTGGGTAATACTTTGAAGTCTGTGGGCCCCACAAAACTATATATCTATTGTTTGTTGTTGGTTGTGGGTTTCGCCGGCTCACATGTTGGCCCTGCCGGTCGCCACCTGCCGGCACTTGCGGGACTGACATTTTATTTAGATTGCTTTGCATTTTCAACTTTTCTCCGTTTTTCCAACCGCCAACTGCGTGCATTTACACTGCTAGAATAATTATGTAATTTTATACCATTTATGGGGTATTTTACCTAAAATTACGCTAAAATTCCCAAGGGGTTCTGGCATTGATAAAGTGAAAATCAAGGAAAATTAGAGATATTTTTAGTAAATATGTTAAAGCTAAAGTAATTATATCTCTAAATTATTAAAAACTTTTTAGTTGTCAAGTTTAAGATTATGATTTGATAAATATAGGGAATCAAAATAACAATAAAATATGAAATACCTCTAACAAATTCAGAAAAATATAATGGTTTAAGAGGGTTCTTTCTTAAAAATATAAAAATAATTTCGAGAGATTCATTTCCATATGCATTTTAAAATAAAATAAATAATATTATCTTCCCCAAATATATCTCCAAAATTACCCCCGAATTTGTTTACTGTAGCCCCAAAGCCAGACTTCCTCAGGCCATAAAACTCGTTGCCTTAAACTTCCCCGCACTTCACTTTCATTATGTGTCAGTTGCATTGTCTTGACTTTTTCGCATATATTTTCCTCAGAGAGGAACCCCCCATGTGCCCCGTGGATTTTTATGGTCGTGTGCTCTCTGCGGTTCGGTTGTGTTAGGTTGTGGGTTATGTGACACACACAGACACAGTCTGCCAGTGGGAACTTTCTTACTCTAGACACTGATTAGCCGAAGCACTTACAATTTCATCCAAAGTGTTCGTCGGCTCCTTCATACCATGACGTTCGAGAATCGCATCCAATCTGCAAACAAAAGAGAAGTCAGAATCAGCAAACAGACAAACAAATAATCATTAAATATCAGATGTGCCAGGGTGTTTTTTTCCTCTTTTTTTTTTTTGTTATGTTTGGGAGGTATGGGATTTGTCGAGGGGTGCCAATATACAAGTGTCTGTCTGCACATGCCAAAGGTATGCGTGTTTGGTGTGTGTGTTTGGTGTGTGTGCGTTTGGCAAATATATTTAACAAAACCAGACAAACATACAATTTAAATTTGTATTTTCAACAATTTTTTGTGGCTTCCTTCCCTTCTTGCTTCATGTAGTATTTTTACCTTCTTAAAGAGTTTGGTGAATATGGGAAAAGGTTTGTAAATTATAAATTAAATTGTGTTTGTAAAAACAATTTTTTTATATTTTAAACTAACTCCATAAAAGATCTAATTATTATAAAATATAAACGAGTTTCTCTTATGAACTATTCTCATAATAACTTCCAAGTTTAGTGAGAGTATTTACCATTTTTCTACCTTCTTAGAGGGGTTTTTCGAAGACAGGTCAGGGAGCTTCTGGGCTCCCAACAATACTAACCCACAAAGACCCACCCACAACGCCCACTTGCCCATACATACATATGTATATGTAAACTCCTACATGTACATACATCACACCCATGTACACATGCCTGAACCTATACAAAAGGCAGCCTTATCAATTTCAAGCATTTTTCCGTAAAAATATTAAAAAAATAATTTGCCTTTTCTTCGTGAAACATACTCATGCTTGTACGAGCATAGATATATCTATATAAAGTAGGGAAACCCCACCGGCCATTTCTTTTCAACGCCTCTTATACTTGCCAGAGACGACCCAAAAGAAAACGCACTCTTTTTATGTGACTTATTTAGTTGAACAATGAGGAACAGAAAAAAAGCCAACGAAGGAACGAAGGACCAGAAGGACTTGGAGCAGAAGCCAAGAAGAAAGAAAAGAAGTTCTGTCTTATTAAAATCATGACACACACAGAGAGAGAGAGAGCAGAACTCACAGTCATTTGCATTTTGCTACCACTTCGGCCTAGAAATTCTTTCTTTCGTTCCGTTCTGTTTTTTAAGTTGATTGCCACATAAATTTCATGTAATCTAATAAAATTTGAATTGTCGTCGTCGCCTGTATGTGAAAAATGTACTTCGAACCGCAAAAGGAAAAGCCAATGTGGTGGGTGGGTGTAGATTTTCCTAGAACGATCCTAGCTAACCACCCTCCTTAAAATGCTGATGGAGTTTCAACTTTGAACGGGCGATAAGCTAATCAAATTAATTCAACTTAAAAAACTTGGCAAGCGAATTTGCAACAAATTAATGTTATTTCATGGCTTCTTAAACTTGACACTGCGGTAACTACCACCGCCACCCCCCCCCTGTCAGCTCACTTCAAAGTAATTCATTTCTGATTGGAAGTTTCCTGTCAGCAATTTTACTTTTTCCTCTGCCACTCGCTCGCTTTTCACTTTCCACTTTTTGTGTGAGCGAAAAGTTTTCTGCATGGCTTAAAGTGCGGCCAGCTGGCTGTTGCCGCCTCTCGATGATGAGGGGGCCTGAGCAGCTCCAGGAGAGCGAAAAGCGTTTATGGATATGTTTGCTGTTGAGCAAGTTATGTGAGGCGTTCGCTGTTGGGGCTCTTCCCTCCCCTCTAACAATGGCTAAAGCAATAAACTTGGAAAATTCACTCGACAGGGGAGAGAACATTTTCCAGTATGTTGATCGGAATCTCCCAGGACCCCCTTTAGATCGAATCTGTTGGCTTCTGATATCCTATATCCCTTGGTATACAGACAGTTGTGGTGTAAGAAATAGTTACAATGGGAATTTTAGATTGTTATCTTAATAAGTCAATATAAATTGGAATTTTGTAGAAAAGAGATACATTTTTCGAATATTTATAAGGATTTTTGAAGCAGAAAATGCATAAATTCGGTCGAAACCATTTGAAATATAGGTTCATTATTATTATTTATTTATTTAATAAATTAGAATTATCTTGAAATTCCCTTATACCCTACCTTATAACTCACAATTTAAATCTAATTTCTTACTAAATTCCTAACAAACTTAGTTCTTAAAGATTGTTTTGTTAGAATCCTTGAAAGCCCCTATTATTTCGAGCACATCTGTCCCTATATCCTTGGATATTTGTAGGCAAATTGCCCGCATTTTGTTGCTCTCTGGAGAACGAGTATCTTTCTCGGTTATTTGTAAACTTTTTCTGTAACAAGTTGAGCTGGGGGAGCTGCGTCCAAGTTAATCTCGGTTAGACAAAGTTTGGTGTTTTGGTTAAAGGCATTTGATTGATTTTTTTTACCCCAACTCTTATAGCTAGCAGCTCAGATTGAGTTTGAAAGGCAAATACTTCAGGTTTTTTTGGAGGGGAGCGTCCCATTCACTTGGCAATTTGCTCGAATGCAGTTTGCATGTTTGATGACAGCTCCAAACGGTTCTCAAATTCCCCCTGGCCTGCCCGAAAGTTTTTTGCATACAAACATACACACACACGGTCACACTCGCACAGCACACACACCTTTTCCAGCGCCATAAACAGAACGTGGCGGTGCCAAACGTGTCAAATGCACGAAATTCTCACATTGCCAGTCAAATAAAAAAATTGGAAAAATAGAGAAAATAGGAGAAAATAAGAGTAAAATCTAGCGAAGCCATGGAAATGCAGTATACAAATCTATACAACCCGATTCATATATATATATCTTTGCATATATAAAACCAAAAAAAAAGGGGAGAGAAAAAATATGAAAATTTAGAGGGAAATGCAGAAAAAGCAGCTAAAAAGCCAAGCGAAACGAACCAAAGTAAATTGGCTACAAATAAGAAATTTCTTTACTGAAATTGAGACAAATATTTGTGAGAGGCAGTCACAGTCGATCAAATAACACGACAAAAGCAAATTGCCTTGAATAACCATTAGAGAATACACAAGGATGCAAATTAATTGGCTTAAATCGTACATTTCAGCAAGTATTTTCTTATGACTTGATAGATAATTAATCAATATTAGCATGACTTGGTTAAGTTATAAACATGAAACCATTACTGAAACAACACAAATTGTCTAAAACTTCCATCAGCAAATACAAATTCAAATTAATTAGCTTCCGGCAGATTAGATTTACAAACCATTCCATTATAAACAAAATTATAAGCCAGCTAGTAATCAATATAAACATATTTCTCATCAGGGAATATTTATAAATATTTCATTTAGCAATCAAAAATACATAATTAATATCACAACGGTAAAGAAAAACCCCAATTTTAGCTAGAAATTCCCTAAATAATTTTCAATAATATTAAACCCACAGCGAAATATCGTTTAGATAACCCAAACACGTCTGTGCCACAGCTCTTAATGCAATTATCGATTTGGCCTGATAAAACAACAATGCCCCGCGTGTAAAGGTAAACACTGCCACTATTAATGTATGCAAATCCCAAGCGAATATTTACCCAAAAGCCAGTTGAAACCGCATTTAAAACTCTTCCCTCCCCAAAAATATCAACAGCAAAACAATTTCAAATAAAATGTGTGTAATTTACAATTGTTTTAATTATACCCCAGGACATGGGGGAATTTCAGGAGCTCAAAAAAAAACGAAACCTGATTGGAGAGCTGCTATTTAGACTGAAATGTGTTGGCCCGATGTTTGTGTGTGGTTTGAAATTCATTTGGGACTTTATATATATATATTTTTTGTTTAGCTCTTCAACTTCCGCTCGTCAGAGTTTTACATAAATTAAGCCAAGGCAGCAGAGCAACAATGCAATTTTAATGAGAATTAATGTTTTAGGCCTAACGTGTGGCAAATTGAATTTCGGAATACTGCATCCTGTCACTAGGCTCTAGTTGTTGTCCCGGAATGCCAGAGGGACACACCTATACATACAAAGACAATGGCAAACACATGCAACCCACGGGGCGTATGGAAATTTGTGGCAAATGTATAGCAAGAGCGTGAAAATAACACCTGCAGGCACAGCAAACTAATTAAAATCATTGCGGCTATTTTCAATGATGAGAAGGAGGAGCCCAGCCATTAGATCACACAGTGAAAATTAGCTTGTGATTAGGAAATCAAAATAAACAAAGATAAAAACAATAAATATTAATTAGGGAAATGAATTTTAAAGGAAATTTAAAGATATTTCTAATCAAGGATCTCGCTAATGTTTTCTATATAAATATATAATAACTTCCCTCCTTAGTCACCTCTAAAATTCACTTACCCTCCTGATTAATGACTCTTTACCTGGCAAAATCAAAGCTCTACCATCGCTCACTTAATTAGAACCAGTAACAAACTGTACAAACTAATCGAATCTTGAGCAAATTAGTTATTTGGCCCAGAGTCCACTGTGTCATTTGCCACTTGACTTCGAGCCAAAGACAATTTTGTCCCCTTAGCTCAGCTCAGCTAAATAAGAGACTTGGCCAACTAATTATCTTTAGTGCAGGCAAAATCATTATTTTCTGTAGCTGCAGCACGACATCACGTTTCGTTTTTGCACCATGTACTCTATATATACACTCTCTATATATAATATATATAATTTCATCTGAATCTGCATTCGTATCTGCAGCTGATATCTGTATCTGTTGGCCACAAAGAGACTCACGCTCGGGCAAACAACAATTCGAATTATTCAGAGGTATTGGCCAGGCATTTCGGAAGTTACACAGGCCAGCAGGCCAAATATTTATTTATTTATATGCCCAGTATGCCCTGAATTTATGTGCAAAATTAAACTATGAAAAGGGAATAACTTTTGTTTAAACAAGTCATAAATAAATAAGAAGTAAGAGTTCTTTTAAATGCTCTACTTTTTTTGGCCAATTTAAGCAGGGATTTATTCATTTCTCATCTTGACTAGTGTTATAAGACGGCTTCTTACGCCTGTGGTTAACACAACAAAGTGGGAGAAAATGGGCGGAAAGGTAATTACCTCAATGTGGCAA